ATTTATAATAATGTTATTTATAAATTAATGGAAATGATCGAATCTATAATTGTATATAAAATATCATTTATTTAAAACTTTTATTATATCTTTTTATCATTTAATTCTCTTATCATTTGCTTTACTATATTTTCTAATTGTTGATTGGCTTTTTTCTTTGAGGAAACTATTACAGAAGAGATTTCTACTTTTTTTTTCTTCGTTATCAAAATATTTTTTATCATTTGATTATCAAATATATTTAAAAAAATTTTATAGTGAAATTTCATATTTCCAAAAATTTTAGGATCTCATTATCTCATTCTGGATTATTATATTGGATTTTCATTTCTTTTCTTCATATTTCTTTGGCTTTTTTAATTCCAAAATTAATTTTTGTATTTCACTTAGCGCCCTATTTTATTGCTTCATTTTCATTGTCCATGGTAACAAAATATTTTTTTCACTTAGCGCCCTATTTTATTGCTTCATTTTCATTGTCCATGGTAACAAAATATTTTATTTATTTATTATTTATGATTTTTCATAGCGCTTTTACGCGATACTGCAATCGATATGATTGTTGTGAAAAATAATAGAACTATAGAAAAGCAATAGTGAAAGCTTTTGTTGATTCCGTTATCAACTTTCATTAACCTGAATAGAAAATTTAAATAAACAACAAATACTATGCATTTTCTTACAGCTGAAATAATTGAAATAACGTACCATATCCAATTATCAATTACTACGCTTTAAAATCAAATTGATAACACTTAACTGTTTTTTTTAATAAATTGATAACTATTTTTTCTAATTTTTAAAAAATTTAAAATTTTATCACATGCGATTGAATGAGTTCATCGAATAATAAGGAATTCGTTACCTTTTTCTATCACATACAATTAATAAGCTAAAACGCATGTGAAATGCTCTTTAGCTCTAGAAAATTACAATATAATGATAAGTACTGCGAATATATTTTTTTTTTTCAAAAAAAACCGATTTTTCTGAATGCATTTTTTATTGGTGACTTAAAAATTAAATAAATAAATAATTGCGATTACGAACTAATAGATGCATTTTTTTCTTTTTTTTATTACATAAATATTTATAATATTTTGATAAATATTGCTATTGCTATTCAAATTTGTTTCTTTTTTTATATACGAAAAAATCAGAAATTAAGTAGGAAAAAGATTTTGGCAGAAATTTTAGTAATATTTAGCAGTAATATTGAATATATAAGCGTTTTATTTTCGGATTTTGAATAAAAATTAAATTAATGAAATTATGAAAAAATGAAAAAATCGGTTTTAATGTTATGTTTTTGTTTATTTATATTTTATTTTTATAAATTTTATTTTTTAATAAATTATTAAAATTATTAGTAAAATTTTCGATAGAATTTATTTTAAAAGTCCTTTCATCAACATTAAATAAGTCAATTAGAATTTTTTTATTAAATAAAATATTATGTGCAAAAATATAAATAAAATTTTTTTTAATAGAAAAATTTATCCTTTTTTTAAAAAATTTTTAATTTTGCCATATATTTTTTTATTTTGTTCTTATTTTTTTATTGATGCATATAAATCTGTCGAATAGTTATTTGATACGTTTGGTTCAGATATTTGAAATTTCAATATTGAAATTATTATTATCATTGAAATTGAAATAAATCTTTGCTTTCTTGAAATTGAAACGATGAAATTAAGAGATTAAGAATAAATGAGACTTGAAACAAAACATCAAAATATCAGTAATATTTGCATGATTTACTTCAAGAATAATTATTTTTTATAAAAAAGTTATTTATATATATATAAAAATTAAAAATTTAAAAATTTTTATTGAATTTTTATATAAAAATTTAATAAAAAAAAAATTTATTTTTAGATTTTCAATTTTTTCACTAATTTATTTATTCTCGTTCGACGCACAAATGTGGTGAAAATTATTTTAATTGCAACCGAAAATGAGTACTATTACTATGATTTTATGGCTAAATTTTTAGTGTTTAACTACTATACGCCCTAATATAAACTTGGAAGTTTTGCTTCATCTTTTTCTAAAAGCAGTGACCCATTTTTTGGCTTTGCTGGTTTACTATTGAATATTGAATATCAGATTTCTTCGCGATAATGATATTAACTTAGAAATAAAAGTGCAAATAATAAGCATTCAGTAAAGTTAAAGTTTCATTTATTGTTTGATTAACCGTAAATTTGATGAAAAAATATTGCTCATTGTGGATAGAATATGATAATGCCGTTTAAAATGCCTTTTGAATAGGATCATACGAGAGTTTTTTGGTGAAAATTAGAAAAAAAGTATGAGCAGTTGGGAGGAGAAGGGAGGTTTCGACAACTTACTTCAAATTCATTGCACGGATACTGAGACTCTCTTCCCTGCAGGAGTAGACCTGTCCAAAAATCCAGTTAAATCCAGTTTTGGCGACTTATCTGTGCTTCTATCGCCAAGGCTTAGGTATAAGGCTTAGTAATTTTTGTTCAGTACGATAAGCTAGTAGAGCGAGTTTAACTAGTAATTAACTTTTAGTAGGGCTAGAAATTTTTCCTAAGAATTCACCAGCATCTCAAGGGTTTTTTAATTAACAAACTTTCTCTATCGAGAACTCATCTCCCAGCGAAACTTGAATTATCCATCCATCCGATTATCGTACCTCTTTATTAAAGTTGCAATAGTTTTTTTTAAAATTTTATTAAGCTTTTTGATTTCTTTGCTACTTTTCATTTTTTTTGTGTATTTTTTTCGTTTTTTTCGTTTCATTTTGATATTTTAATTGATTTAATAATTTAATTTGAATTTAATATTTTTTTTCACTATTTATATTTATATATTTTTATTTAATACCATTTTAAATTCATATCTAATTTATCTAACAATTATTTTAAGAAATTTTTAAAATATAGATAAAATTTTCTACAAATATGAAATATTCAAATATTCATTCATATGGATTTTAGCTTATAAACGCTATATTTATACGAAAAAATTCTAAAAATTTTTATACTTAAATATCATGGATGTAAAATTTATGTTCACGTCAGTAAGCCGAAGGAGAGCATGTTTTTTTTTTTTTTTTTACTCGATATTTAAGCATGAAAAATGCTAAAATGATCGGAAGATAAGAATTAATGAAATGAATAGCTTGGATAATGGGCAACATGTTTGCTTAATTTGATTTTTTCTTCTTCTTTTCATAGAATCAAAAAAAAAAGAACGAAATGTATAAATATATTTTTAAAAGTTTAAAGTGGCAATTAAATTAAGTTTATTGGAAATGATTTTTATGTTTTAAATTTGTACGATAAGCGATTTAAGAAATTTATGATTGACATTTATTTTTATCATTAATGTTAAATTATTTTCCACTATCTTTAATGGGAAAAAAAAAACAATGAATAGAAATTGTCAGCAATGCAAGGACTAAAAATTATAAAAAAAATATTCATTTCGTAAAAATCATTTAAATTATGCTGAAAAACTAGAAATTTCAGCTAGAAAAGACAAAAATGATTAATTTTACTGATATTTGCCAAATTCGTTCCAAGCTATTTAATTGCTAAGGAAATGAAAAGCTCAAATAATCATTATAAAATCATTTTTGGAATATTTTTTTTTATTAGCATTTAATTTCGTATTGAAATATTTAATTCAGATGAATTAATAAAAATTAATAAATTAATATAAATTATTAATTTTTAATATATTAATATATTTTTTAATTTACTTTTTTCTTAGCTAAAATATAATTTTTTTTTCATAGTGAATAATGCTGAGAATTCATCGCATCTAACACAATAATATCTTTTCTATTCTTAAGGGTCCTCACCATTACTAGTTAAACTCGCTCCACTGGCTTGTCGCATTGAGCAATATGTCTCTTGACGATAAAAATACAGGTGAGTCACCAGCATCACCCGGATTTTTGTACAGGTTTGCTCCTATGGGGAATCGAACAGCAGCTGCTGCTCCAAATTGGGCAACAACCCACTGAGCCATCCTATCCCCTAATATCTTTTCTATTACCATGTTGTTTAAAAAAAAAAAGTTAAAATAGTTTAAAGTGGTCCATTTGTAGAATTTAGGGTAGAATTTTTCTCAAAATATATTGTGGTACTAAACTATTTCCAATAAAACCACATTTAAGTTGCTTTCTTATTTTAAAAGTTCAATTTTTCATTTATTTTATAATTTACTACGAAATTCATGGAAAAATACAGCCAAAATACAGTTATTTAGTTTATATAATTAATGTTGAGAAATTTCAAGTTAGAAATAGCTTTGCTTATCTATCATAAAATTACATCATGCCTTGTCAGATGATAAATCATTAATCAGTTCAGTAATTTAGTGATTAGCGTAAGATTAATGAGAAAGAAACTTGAAGCTATAACATTTTGTTGTTGTGTAAAATTTTAAAACTATAATTGTTTTGCAACTATATTTCATAAATCTTTTAGGCTTTAGCATTAATTAATATAATAGTTTTATTCAATTATAATAATTTTAATAATTAATAATTAAATAATTTTATAAAATTAATAAATTAATAAATTTTTTTTATTTTTTTAGAATTATTCATAAAAAGAATTGTTAAAATACTTAATGATTTATAATTATTATTTATCTAATTAATATCGTCAGGATTTCTTGTTAATTTTCTCATGAAAACCTGTTATATGACCGCCAATTTTCTTAATATAATAAAATAAAATTAAAAGAATTCTTTCATCGTCGATATTAGAACCTTCATTGGCATTTGAATAGGCAATTCTTGCAATAAATGATTAAAAAAAAATTTTATTACACTAAAAAATATTACATTTTTTCGATTTATTAGGTTTTTGGGCTAAAAACAATCATTGAGTCAAAACATCATATCATATCAAATATCATATAAAAAATTTTTTGTATTTTATGTGAGAAAACGTACCGTATGAAAATTGGCAAGCCAAGGGAAATACAAATTTTTTTTTCGGTTCTGATTCAAAATCTTAGGTCGTTGCAATTCGAAAAATTAATAAATTATGAGATTACAACTTAAAAAACAAACGAAACGAAATGTTCATATAGATAAGCATAAGCTTATCACAAGAATACTATGAATTTAAAAAAATATTTCAAAAACTATTCTACATTCAAATATAAAGGACAACAATTTAATTCGCATCCTTATCGCTATCATCACAAATCAATTTCGAACTTTTTATTTTCATCGCATGTTTCATCTAGTTTTTCTTGAGAGCACTCATCATTTCTGGCTATACTCTCTCATTCTATTGGCCTATCGAACAAAACAAATTTTGCTAGCGAACCATTTAGCAGTCCAATAGAAGTTCAAATGTGAACTGAGATTTTTAAAAGATAGCTTTATTCTTGCCGAAAGTAGAGCCTCAGAATCGGCGCTTTAAAATAAGAGCAAATCATTTAATCATTTTTTTTCAGCTTGGTTGCGGAGAAATTAGAGATGAAGATCTCCGAGGAATATTTCGTGAATTTGACCTTAATGGCGATGGTTTTATCCAAAAAGATGAATTAAAAGCTGTTATGGTCAAAATGGGACAATGTCCAACCGATGAAGAATTGAATGCTATGTTCATTGCAGCTGATAAGGATCGTGATGGAAACATTGATTTCAATGGTTTTTTTTTTTTTTTTAAACGAATATTCAAAAGAAATTCGAAAAAAAAAGATGATAATTTTGTCGAAAAATAAAAAACAATTTAATTTCTATAATTTCTATAATTAATTGAATGAATATTGAAGAGTTTCTAAGTATTGCACACGCAAATCCATTATCATTATCAATGAAAGCAGTTTTCGATGAATTGGACGTTGATGGTGATGGTTTTGTTACTCGTTCCGAATTAAGGACTGCCTTTCAACGTATGGGACATAATTTAACTGATTCGGATATTAAAGCTATTTATCATCATGTCGATATCAATAATGATGGAAAGATCAATTTCGAAGGTCTCTTCTTGCTAATTGCATTATTACATTTTTTTGTAGACCTGTTTTTTTTCTCTTCTTTTTTAGGGTAACAAAAAGAATTTCAAGAAAAAATTTTTTTTATTTTATCAATCGTAAATTTTCAATTAATTAATTATTTTAACGATCGAATTTAAAAAATTACAATAATATCAATTACTGCTGATTATATTGTAATATATTTTACGATTTTTTTTTTTGTACTGTAAAGAATAAATGTTTAGTTGACTTAGACAGTTGAAAACTGACCGATAGATGGAGAGGCCTTTCTCTGTTCGATGTTTGGTGATGCATTCCTTTTAATTGACTTGGACAGCTGAAAACTGACCGATAGATGGGGAGGCCTTTCTCATTTCGATGTTTGGTGTAGTATTGCTCATTTTTTTTTCACTGATGGAATGAATAATTTATGTGGTTCATTTCTTTGCGAGACTATTAAATATCTATTAAATATTCGACAAATAACTTATAAAATTTTTTTTTTTAGAGGAACAAATGAAATTTAGTAGAATCACTTGAATAGGATTAACGAATAACAGAAAATATTCAAGTTTAAGAAAAAAATTTCTTTAAAAAAAAAATCATAATAATCATAATAAAAATAATTTTCAGAATTTTGCCGAATGATGTCAACAAAAAAGAAATAACTCGTTGAAATTTGTTTTTATAAATAATAAAAATATTTTTGATTGTAAAAATTATATTTTGCTTATCCATTTTATGTATTATAAAAATGCAAAATTTTTTCTAAAAATTGCGCTTTTGCCTTAAATAATTTTTAAATTATTTAACTTTATTTCGAGAATTTTCATAAGAAAGATTCTATTTTGATTTATATGAAATTTTATGAATTATTTTTTTCAAAAAAAGCTATTCTATTGATAATTAATATTTATTTTATTTAATTTAATGATTTTGCTTGTTTTATTTAATTGTTTTTTATTAATAAAAAATTTCGAAAAAAAATTGGAATATTTTTTTCATTTAGCAATTTTTCTGAAATTATTGTGAATGTAAAAAAAATTTTTAGAATTTTTCTATTTATCGCTTAAACATTTTTTTATAATAAAAGTATTTAAAAAAAAAACGTTTGAAAAATTTTTTATTTTCGATTCTTTCGGAAAAATTTCCATTTTTTTTTTTACAATTCTACGGATAATATGTTTTCCTTAAAAATTTGCATTCTATAAATTTCAATACAAGATTGGTGTAAAAAAATTGGTTATAAATAAATTAAATTATTTTTATCGCATAACTGGAAAATGAATTCGACGACGACATCGAATGTTATTCATGTTCTTTTTTTATTTTTTCAAAAAGTTGTGTAAAATTTAAATCTTCTGCATCAAAATTTTTTAATTAAAAAAAATTCATATTTGCATTTGCAATTCTGCAAATATTTTGTGGAAAATTTATTGTTTCTCATAGTATTTAGTATTAAAGAAGAGAAAACTGTGAAGTGATAGCACCAAGCTTAAGCATTATTATAGATTCCTATAAATTATGACAAGGATAAATATGAATTACCTGAAATTAAAATAGGAATGATGCTAGGAAGCCAGAAGTCTAATTTCGATTCTTGTTTGATTTTTTGGCGAAAACACTCGAAACATTAGTAGGCAATCAGTAAAACTCTCTGGCGAGATAAAAAAAAATAGTTAAATGACAATTTGGAAAAATTTTTTGAAAATAATAGTGATAAATTCAAATATTAGGTAAAACTTTTCAAAATTAATGTTTTCTTTAAGAAAATAATAAATAATTAAAGAAAAAAAATTTTTTTCAAAAAATCGAAATTATCATTTTGTAAATTTTTTTTGGATTTTTCTTTTCTAAATAAATTCCCTCTGAAACAATAAAAATTAATATTTTTCAAAGTCAGTTATCGTTTTTAATTTATAAAATTCATTAAGTATTTTTTTATTTTATTTTATTTTTTTTATTAAATATTTTTTAAAAGTTTTTTTATTAAAAAACAAATTTAAAATTTTAAAAAATTTCTTAAAACCAAAATTTTAAGATATTTTTTGAAACCAATTGTATTATTAATATTGTAAAAAATAGGCAAACAATTCCACATTTTAGTAAAATCACTAATTTATGAGCTTTTTTTCTTTTTTAACGGTTTCTTTAAAAGGACAATAAATAAAGGCTAAAAATATTATTATTGTTTCATATTTTGTAAAAAGAATTTAAACATTGTCTTAATTGCAAATTCAAATATTTTTTGCTATAAATAAATTTGCTTTCAATTTATTATAAATTATTCGCGATTCCCGCAAATTTAACTAAAATGATTACTAATAAATCATTTTCTACAAAAGCTTTTAATAAAGAAAAAGTGTTTCGTCGATGACAAATCATTGAAACATTTGACATTTTTTGACATTTCTAAACGATTTCATTAGTTTTTTTTTTGTTTTTTTATTTAAATATAATTTTATTTAAATATATTTTGCTAAAATATAAAATATAAATTAATTATAATAAATTATTATTGCGCTAAAATAATTTTTAAATAGGATTTTTCTTTTTTTTTTTCCAGCAGCAGCAACAGAAATAAATCAAAAATTTTTTCGATTTGTTTAGATAAGAAATTATCAGCATTCTCGGTTAGTACAATTTAACTGTCGAGAATTGCGAAGAATTTCAATAAAACTAGCGTAACGAGACGAGACAAAAACTATTAAAACTATTATTATAAATGAATATGGAGACAATTTACATGAATTGAGACTGATAACTATAAAACGAGTTCGACTTCGCAAAATTACCATAATTTCGGAGAGAGTCACTGAAATGACCCAAGATAAAGAAGTGATAAGATGACTTTTTATATGACTTTTATAAGAACGCAACGACCTTTATGGTAGAGGAAAGTTCTTTGTGATTAGACTTAATCAATCACGATATGCGCCATCTAAAAGATGAAAATGTTCTTGTCTTTTCTTCGCCGACCATCGCAACTTATCATTGGTATATATATATAAAAAGTAAATATTAGATGAATGAAACAAAAACTATTTTGTTTCAAATTATCAAGAATAGCATATTGGCATATTTCTGCGAGAATTTTCCCTTCTCTCTTTTGCTCAAAATAGAACTCAAAAATGGCAACGCAAAAGACAACAGAATGTGGCCAAGTCGAGTTTCAGACCAAAGTATGAATGACTGGAACTATAGCAATGCAAGAGACAATAGAATGTGGCCAAGTCGAGTTTCAGACCAATGTGTGAATAGGTGATCAAATATTCACGCTAAAAACATGCGTTGGAACATCGCAACAAACATTCTGCAATACATTGTCACATATTTTATTGATTTTGTCGCAAACTTCGAATCAATTACTAGAGCATCGGTGTAGAATTCTAAAACTTGGTGAAATATTGGTGAAATAATAAAATATTTTAGAGAAAATCGGTTCATCAAAAGCATTTTTTCAAGTATTTCTTCTTCCTCTTCTAACACCTCTCACCATTACTGGTTAGGTTGGTTCCGCTGGCGGCAAGAGTAAAACGCGTCTCCAAGCCGTTCAGTCCGACGCTATCGCTAGTAGTAATAGAAGCCATTCCTTTTTCTATCCACACAACAAATGATGCTAGGATACTGCAAGAAGAAAGGTCGAACTCAAAATCTGTTGGCTGCTATCGAGCCGCGGCCACATTTTTTCAAAGAAAATCTTCTAACTTGCAGCTTCACTTTCATCTAATTTTTTCCACGATGGAAAAAGCTGAGTTGAAATTTTATGTGAGAAAGAGGAAATGAGGAGAGGAGGAGGAGAAGGAAAAAGGAGGAGAAGAGGGAGGGGAGAAGGGGAATTCTTCTTTCCGGTGAGTTTTGGTTGCCTAATATCGGAGCTTCTTGCTTGTACCGTTTTTTTTTCATTTTTTTTTCTATATTTCCGAAATTTTCAAAGATGCTTATGCCTATGCACTTATTTATTTATAATTTATAATTCATTTATAATTTTTAATGTTTAATTTATAATTTTATATTATAATTTATAATTTTTATAATGTATAATTTACAATTTGTAATTTTTACAATATATGTTAATATTTTGAAAAAGATAGAACTTAATCAGTCAGCAGAAATTGCCGTTAATTGATATCCAAAAGATAATTCGATTTGGAACTTCCTTATCCCGCGAGACTTTTTTACAATTTTAGTTTAATTTAATTTATAATTTTTACTATTTTTTATATTTTATATTTATATTTTAGACAATATTTGCCTATTTATTTTCGCTTTACTATATCTTTATTTCTTATAAATTTATGAGTAAAATTAATGAAAAAAATTTTTTTAAAAATTCACAATTTTTATAATTGAATTTTTTTCAATTTTTTATTATAATTTATTAGATATTTAAGTGAAATATATAAATTAAAAAGCTCGTGAAATCGTTATTTTTCGTAGTTTACTAAAAAATAAAATTCGTAGTTTATTAAAAAAAATAAAATTTTTTTTTAAATAAAATTTAATTTAAATTAGGTGAATGCGTTTTCGTCGTTTATTGCTTACAATGGATAAAGATCTTCGTTGTATAATTTTTCTTGGATTTGCTTTTTTATTGGTTCTTTCAGCATTTAACAGTCAAGGATTTGTTGAGGTTTTTTTTTCTTTTCTTTTCTTCGTTATTAGTTTGCTAACTTTGGTGACAATCGTTTTAAAAGCTTAAAAGGATTGTTACGTGAGTTGCGTGACTCTGAGATTATTTTAAAGCTTATGGATGAAAACGTTGAATTTTGGTTTTTCTTTTAAGTGATATTTTTGGATTTAGCCATTAATTATATTGATAATTATATTACCTATTGCAGATAGCAGTGCTTAGTGGTGTTGCAAGTGAACGTCCTTCATCTGGTATTTCCGAAAAATCTGGATACTATAGGTTTATTCCAAATTTTTATTAGCTGTTAACCTTCCATATACTTCAATTATTTTTTTATTTTTTTAGAATCCTCTCTTAAGGTCACAGAAATAGTTATATGAAAATTAAAAATACATTCAATGAGGCTAATTTCCAATAGTTTATTAGGCATTTTTGTTTATATTGTAATCATAGTGTAAATAAATCCGTTAAAATTTAAAAAAAAATCGATCTATTTATCAAAAAATTATAAAGAAATTTTTATCAAATCTTTGCGGAAAACAATCTAAATGTAGAGAATATAGAAGAAAACCATAAAAGTTATAAAATATAAAAAAGAAAATAATAATAAATTATTTTTAAAGCTTGGCCATCATATACTTCACATTTACTTTCTCAAATCTGCTAGCACCAGCTGTTATCAATATTTTAACCCCAAAATGGACTATGGTTGTTGGTTCAATGTTTTACTGCTTTTTTATGCTTGGTTTCCTCTATCTCGAAGCTGTTGTGCTATATTTACTATCAGGATTGGTAGGATTTGGTGCTGCTCGTGAGTGATTTATTTTAATAAGCTTATACTTATTTTTTTTTAAACTGCTTGTGCTTTTTAAAATATTTACCTATTGAATCATAAATGTGTTTAATATGTTTTTATTATTTAAAGTTATTATCAGGATTGGTAGGATTTCTTGTTGCTCATCATTGATTTATTTTGATAAACTTTTACTTATAAACATAATTGTGAATAACTATAGAATTATAGTGTTATGGACCGGTCAAGGGGCATATTTAACAGCATGTTCTCGTATTGATACAGTTGGTCGTAATAGTGGTATTTTATGGGCAATGACACAAGCCAATTTCGTTTTCGGTGGATTGTTTCTTTTTTCGATGTTTGTATCCAGGTAATTTTTATATTTTACATTTTAAAATTTTTTTATGTTTTGAAGCTTTTTATTCAGATTTTGTAGATTTTTTACTTTTATTAAGGATTCTCTTGTGATTTGAACATAAAGAATATATGTCACTGATTTTGCAATTGTTTGTTTTATGAATTTTTTTCTTTTTTTTAAAAATTTCTTCAATCCGATTTTTTAATTTTTTTTCCAAGTTTTTCTTATTTTTTTGTTTAATGAGCGGAATAACATTACTGAATCTTTTGACTTGCAGGATTTAATATCAGTCAGTTAACGAATAAATTAGTTTCTTCATTATTTTTAGTATTTTTACTATTTTTATTATTTTCAGTTCCATCATAAATTCTGCTCGAATATTATATGGCTCTTTTGCGATAATTTGTGGACTGGGAACACTTGTTTTCGCATTTCTTCCGTCTCCTTCGCGATCTATTTGTAACAGTGAAAATAATGAGGATTTCAATATTGTCGATGGTCATGTAAATTATGGAGCTCACTCCGTTCGTGGTGTCATTGCGCCAAATACTATTCATTGGAAAGATGAATTCTGTTATTTTTTTTAGATTTTTTCTAAAGCAACATTTTTTCATTTATTTTTTCTCTATTAAATTTTATAAATTCATATAAATATTACAGCTTAAATCGTTTGTGAATTTATTTTATTTTATGAATTTTTAGACAATACATTGCGTTTGTTGTCAACTCGCCGTATGATACTATTATCAGTAGTATTTATGTACTCAGGAATAGAATTAACATTTTATTCTGGTGTGTACTCGGCCTGTCTTGCTGGTTTTCAAGCGTTAAAAGATACAAATGGATTGATTATTGCATATAATGCTTTAGCGCTTGGTGTTGGGCAAATTCTTGGTCAATTTTGAATTTCTTGCTTCATTTCTTCGATCTAATATTTTTATTTAATTTATATTTATATTTGGTTCAATCTAATATTTATATTTGATTTATATTTAATTTTAATGTTTAGGTAATCTCAAAAATGAGAACATCAAGTTTAAGACTTTTAAATTTTTTCCAGTTTTATATTGTAAAATAAAATCCTTGTAATCAGTTATATTTTGCTATGCATTTATTTGTTGTATATATAGGTGGACTTGCATTTGGATTATACGCAAATCGTTCTTTCGCAAAAGGCCGTAATTTTGTCATTGTGATTGGGACAATTACTCATTTGGTCGCATTCTTCCTCGTTTTTTTGAATATACCTGTGGAGGCTCCTCTTCATAAAACTGATTCAGTTGGTTATATTTCTCCAAGGTAAGATTCTTTATCTTGGCATTTTTTATAAGAATAGTTTTCTCATTCTTCTTTTTTTTTAATTTGCTTATACATTTATTTGCTGTTATTTTAGCTATTATATTGCAATAATTTGTGGTTTTTTGTTGGGATTCGCTGATAGTTGCTGGAATACACAAATTTATTCACTGTTGAGTTCAGTGTATAGCATTAATAGCTCGAATGCATTTGCTATTTTCAAATTTTTTCAGGTAATTATTTTTCTTTATCTGCTTGTTATTTGTTTTCATATTAAAAATTTTAATTGAGCAAAAACAACTTTATTTGTTATTCCTAAAGATTCTATAAATATTTTGTTCAAAAGTTTTCAATAAATGAAATGATATCTTAAAAAGAATTATTTTAGTCCATGGCAGCATGCATAAGTTTTTTTTATGGATCAGTTCTTATGCTACATTGGCAATTAATAATTCTGGCTAGCACTGTTACTATTGCTGCACTTTGTTTTATACCTGTTGAACTAGAAGCTCGTGCGATGTTCGCTCCTCCAGTCTTTACTTAAAAGTTTTTCTATAATTATTTCTTTTTTCTGTTCTTAAAAGAGTATTTCTGTATGTAAAGTCGTTTCTATTGTTTTCTGTTGTTTCGATTGAGTGAGAAATTTATTTTATTAATGGAATGAATGTATCTTTTTTTTATTATTGTTATTTTTATAATGAAAATCCCCTATAAACCATTTTTATTCTAAATTTTATAACAATTTATCATAGAGGAACTTCCATAATTTTGATCTTCTGATATCAACATTCATTGTTATTTTATAATTTTCGAGAATATCTTTCAACTTCTTTCACTAAGCGCATTCATGTTAACGTTCATTTCATTCAATCAGTTCATTTTTTGCGTTTACTTTTAAAGTTATATCGTATGATTTCATTGATACATTGATTTCATTATGTTTTTATATCATTTTTTTTTTTTTTACAGCAATTTCAAGAGATTACTTTTTTCTATTGTCTATAGATGTATCAATAATAATAATAATAATAATAATAATAATAATAATAATAATATGCTGAATAAATAATAAGAAATCCATCATTCTTTATGAATTTTGTATTTTTCATTAATTTATTCCATATTGTTCGATGTTGTTTTGTATTGGATAAATCTATTTGAAAAATTTTCTAGAAATTTTTCTTGAATTTATTGAATAATGAAGAATTCTATTCGCAAAATATGTGTATTCAGCATATTTTTAAATTTTAAAATTTTGGAAAAATACGAAAATTCCAATCATTCAATTAGCATGCAAAACAATATAAAAGTACGCGAAAATTCAGGAAAAATTAAATAGAATTTTAATTTAGTTGAAAAACGATATTCTATAAGAAATTCGATTTATAAAAAGTTCTTTTTTTTTTTTTTTTTGTTCATGATAATCCATCTCTATGAAAAGAAGATATTTTCTCCTTATTTGATTGATTAATGACATTTTCATTTATTTTGTGAGGGAAAGGCAGGAGAGAAGGAGGGAAGTTCATTATTTGTTGAAAACGTATTATCAGCAGCAGAAAGTAATTAAAGTGAAGCGGCAAAGCGATTTATTAGCTATTTACAAATTGTTTTTAGGCTTTATAGTACAATAATGGAGGCAAATTTAGAGAAATATTATCATAAATGGCTAATTATCATAAATACGACAAAAATGATTAAAAATACCAAAAATTTATAATTTTTTAAGCAATTTTATTCTATTCTCCATTGCAAAAAAATAATATTATTCTTAACATTTATCAATTATCAATTAATATTATTCTTAATATTTTAATTAATGAAATGGAAATGACGTAGAATTTTTAGTTATTTTCACCTCTAAAGGGCAAGAAAACGCTTTTCATCCATGATTTTTCATGGAATAGCATTTTTTTATCACTCATCAATTTTTCACATTTTGTTTTTTATCGGTTATTTGAAAAACTTAAAGAACTATTTTTTAAAATTTGGTTTACTTTAGCTGATAAGTGAGTGAATTTAGCATTTCGCTCTAATACATCAATTTCGAAATAATTTTCTGGTAAAAATTTCTAAATAAATATGCAAAATAGTAGTAATTAGTAGTAGCCTAATCTAACCAGAAATATTGGACACTTATGGCTTATAATATATTTTGACAAAGGTAAAAACATGGCAAAGAAGCTGATTTGATTATATTAGTCAAAGCGAAGCAAATATATAGGAAATTTCGTATATTTTCATCTTATTTTAAATTAGTAAAAAATATAATATTTTGAAAAACTCTTATCACTATCCTCTTATCATTGCCTTCTTATCATTCCTCAGCTTCCAAACCTCGTGTAACTCTTATTGCCTTCTTTTAATGATATCTTTATCTTATCTGAATTCTGTGGATATCTTTCTAATCCACTGGTATTTTCATTTTTATTATTTTCCATATTCCAAATATACTATTAATCCTGTTGAACATGGTCCATCAAATTTTTTGCCAAAACCGAATAGAGAAACAAAAATCTTCATTTGTGATTAGACTCGATTGACCCTGCTAAGGATGTGCATTATGTCGTGAACATAAGAATATAATAGAGTCAATACGTGCGGCTTCATTTTTGTTACATTCTCTCTTCTTGCAAAAAATGCTGCCATGCCTGGAAATTATCTTCATCCTTATCAATAGAATTAGTCAAGCCAATAATGGTACCATCTGTTGAAGGCGAAAATCTCGACTTGTTGGATCTCATAGCATCTTTCTCTCTATGAATGCTCACCATCTCTAGTTAAACTCGTTTCGCTGGATTGTCGGACCAGAATTGGTTATACATACATTGTGAGATATCGGTCAAATTATATATTTTATTGTTTTTTCATTATTATTATTATTATTAAAAGCAGATCATCGCTATTAATTGAACAATAAATAAATTGATAATTTTCGCGTCAATATATATCGCATTATACAAATATTCTTTTATAATTTTTTTTATTTTTATAAATTTTTAATATTTTTATTTTTTATAGGTACAAAATTTTTATCCTCCATATTTGATAAATTCATTTTTTTTTATTTCTTTATTTATAGCTTTTAATATTAAATATTTCTTAAATTTCTTGGAATTTATTTAAGATTTATTATTATTAGAAAAGATATATTATTATTAGAAATGAATAAATTTCAATAGTAAATTAGTTCTTTTTTTTTATAAAACAATATAAAATATTTTTATATATTTACTAGAATTCGTCAAATTGCTAAAAACATTATTAGTTGTGATTCTCACCAACATTGTTTTTCGATGATCCTTAGAGGTTCATAAAGATTTTGGTATTTTCGTTACCTAAGGCTTTTTTCTCTTGTCTTTTAGATGCCTTATAAATGTGATAATAGGTGGTATGGTTAAGTATGGATTATAAGTAAAGTAAGTGGGGATTACATTATAAATTAGTTCTTTACTCTCTCTCTGTTTATGGTTCTTCTATAGTCAGTTAAATGATTTATAGCCAAACTCGAATTTAAATTTATAGATTCTTCATAAATTTTTGTATAAATTTGTAATTTATAAGTAAGCTTAAGTAAACTTCCATCAGTACTATTTTTATGGAATGATAAATAATTTCTCAGGATAAGCTATCGCTTCATGAATTAATTTACGCTTGTGGTATCGTATTGCGCCTTTTCCCTGTATTCCGTGGTACTATATTTTGACTTTTTTTAACCGACTTACGCCTTAGGTTTTCTATTTTTATTTAAAATTTTAACTCGAACTTTCCTCATATTTCATTCATTAACTCAATTTCTTCTCTTTATTCCATAGAAACTGAAATATTTTTTATTCATAGAAATTAAAATTTCTTTATTAAATTTGTGACTAAATTTTTATGATTCGAAGAAATATCTATTTTTCCCTTATTTATTTATCGCCAAAGATAATAAATACATTCAGCATATGTAATAATAAATCATATTTCATTTGTCTTTTTTATTTTATCTCTTTTACATCTTTTTTAACCATTTAGTATTTCTTATAAAACTTATTATAAAAACCTTCCTTCTTCATATAATCTTAGCACAAAATGTATTTGCTTTATAAAAGCTTTTTTCATAATTTTATTTTACTCGCTTCCATTGCTTATTTTATTTTATTATAACAATTGAAATATTGTAAAATTTTCTTATTTTATTTTTATTTTAGTTAATTTTATAAAAATATTTTATATATAAATTATAAATTTTGCATATAAGTTTAAAAATTGTTTTTATGCATATTAATATTAAAATATTAAATATGAAATATATTAATAAAATTAATAAACAAAATAATAAAAAATAATAGATAATAAATAAATTTATAGATATTTATCAAAATATCAATATCAAAATATACATATATAATTTTTTTCTGGTTATTCTTTATTAACGTTCTGACACTAAAGAGAAGAGACATCGTCGATCTGATAAGGTACTTGAGAAATAACTTGGAATTACTTGGCACTAAGAAGTAGAATAATTTCAAAATATTTTAATTCTTTTATATATATATATATAATATCAATTATAATTATTTTTAATTTTAATTTTTGAAGATTTGACAACTCTGATAATTTGATGAATTGATAATTTTTAAATTTTTCCATAAATAAAATTTTTATTGATTTAAGAGTTTCATTTGCTATTTTATTCATAAAACTAGCATTAAGTATTCTTTTTAAGTGTTTTTTTTATTCTTTTAGAATTTATTTTTTTTTTGTTTTGTTCAACTTTTCCAAAGCTTTCCAAAGCTATGAAAGAATCATATATCGTCCAAATTTTTTGAATTTGAATCAAAAAATAGAATTGCATTACTAAGTAATTATTGCTATTCAGTCAAATTTCATTCTATTAATGGTATGAAACAAAGGAATTTTGGAAAGTTTGTTATAAAACTTAATTACCTCCCAGACGAATGCATTTAAAAAATTTCAGACGAAAGCAAAATAAATGACAGTTGCAATGTCACTTATGTAAAGGTCAATCATAATTATTGAAAGTAATTATTTATTTGCAGCACTTAAGAAATATTTTCGAAATTTTCATGGTGGTTTAAAGCTTAAAGTTCAAAGAGGAAAGCTTAATTGATCTTATTTATGTTGCTTATAAGAATAGTGCAACTGGTAATTATTATTGTGCGATGATATGAGAAAATTATAAAATATATATGACCTCTCGAAATATTTTACTTTAATGACAAAACTTTAGCTTATTAATTGTTCTTAACTTTAGTTTAATAAAGAATTTTTAGCGTAATTCGATGGTGAAATTTAATTTATTCAAGCACCATTACACCTTACACCTTACACCATACACCTTACACTTTACACTTTTAAACCTCTAAAATATTTGAGAATTTCTTGGTGAATTAAGTTAAGTTATCGTGGCTATTTATTAATTTTTAGAATAATTTAATTTAATATGTTATTTCCGATGAAACTTCCAAAATCTTCCTCAGCCTTCTTTCGTCTCTTACATCTCTGTTTAAGACAACAGTGTAGTTTCCAGCATCAAATCAT